AACAAAAACAGGTCCACAAATCATCGTCAAACATATAAACACGAACAAAAACAGATCCACAAATCATCGTCAAACATATAAACACGAACAAAAACAGATCCTCAAATCATCGTCAAACATAGAAACACGAACAAAAACAGATCCACAAATCATCGTCAAACATATAAACACGAACAAAAACAGATCCTCAAATCATCGTCAAACATATAAACACGAACAAAAACAGATCCACAAATCATCGTCAAACATATAAACACGAATAAAAAACAGATCAACGTATCGTTGCACCATATTAACATCAATAAAATCAAATAAATATGTTTTCAAAAAAGCAGATCAACACATGTCATATGAACACCTGTAAAAAAAACAACAACAAATCAATGCATTGTTATCAAGGGCATGGCAACCAGGGATGCTGAGGGGGGGATGGCAGCATCCCCTGACTTGAGCTATAGGGGTGTTGCATATACCTGCTGTTTTTATTAGCATATTTTACCAACCTAATACACAGCTTTCATCTTTTATAGGGTTTACAGTTTTGTTAATTGGCTTTCAGCAACCCCACTGTTAAAAATGCTCCACCACTCTGATTTTCATACCATGTAAACTCCAATAAAAAACAGATCAACACATTGTTATACCATATAAAGACCAGCAAAAGTAAAGAAACAGAACAATGCATTGTTATACTATATAAACACCAGTAAAATTAAATAAATGGATCAATGCATTGTCATATCATTTAAATACCAATAAAAATAAAGAAACAGATCAATGTTTCCTTATATCATATAAACACCAGTAAAATTAAATAAACAGATCAGTGCATTGTTATACCGTATAAATACCAATAAAAAAATATATAAACAGATCAATGCATTGCCTTACCATATAAACATGAGTAAAAACAAAGAAACAGATCAATGCATTGTTATACCATATAAACACCAATATACATCAAATATTTGATATTTGTAATTCTGTTGTTATAATGAAAGATGAGAAGCTTTTAATGTCTCGTGTAATGAATAAGTAAATCCAGTAAATCCACATGTTTTGGAATAAAACTTTACATCATAATACTTACCTTGAAAATACAAAACTGTGGTGTTCTGGTGAAGTCTGTGTATGTTTCTAACTAGTAGGTTCATAGAGTTTTGTATAGAATGAGTATTTTGCTAATTTTATTTTTCAGTTTTTACTAGAAAATGTGTACTGTTAATTCCGTGTGCTCTAAAATATGCACGACTTAGTTTACAGTCAGTATTTTATTAAAACTTTAAGTTTCACGTTTTCTGGTCCCACACACTTGCCAACATTACATTTTACGGTTTTATTTCTACGTGACCTACCCCGTTAACGTTACTTTCACGTATTTACGTTTACACAATTATGATCTGTTGTCGTTACGTTTCATTGTTTACTTTTATGCACATACGTTATGCTAATATAACGCTCACAGTCTTATATGTATACAATGTGCTTTGTTGCTATAATGGTTTTCAGTTTTTTATGTATACAATGTGCTTTGTTGCTATAATGGTTTACATTTTTTATGTATATAATGTGCTTTGTTGCTATAATGGTTTACAGTTTTTATGTATACAATGTGCTTTGTTGCTATAATGGTTTTCAGTTTTTTTTATGTATACAATGTGCTTTGTTGCTATAATGGTTTTCAGTTTTTTTATGTATACAATGTGCTTTGTTGCTATAATGGTTTTCAGTTTTTTTTATGTATACAATGTGCTTTGTTGCTATAATGGTTTTCAGTTTTATATGTATACAATGTGCTTTGTTACTATGACGGTTTACAGTTCTTTATGTTATGCATAATATGACTGTAACATTACAGTTTTCTACGTACAGTAGCTGTTCTGTTTAAATTACAAGATGTGGTCTTATGAACATCCAAGATGTTTAGTTATCCTCCCAGTTTGTATTTCTGATGTTTTATTCTTAACACTTAGGGCTATTTCACGCCACGAACTCTTCCCAATTCGAGCACCCCTGCTTGCCATGGAACATTGTATCGCTCCCTTCTTGGACAGCTGTGATGTTGATGACGACCACATTATAACTCTCGCTGAATGGGGAAAATGTCTCGGACTTAAGGAAAGTAAGTAAACTATCCTTCTGACAGTGTACACCCTTTGTGTAATTAAATATGAGAAAATACGTTAAAACTCAATTCACATTGGACAATAGTTTGGAGAAAGATTATGATGAGCCTCAGAGCCTGGGAAGTGATTTTGAAAGAAGGAAACAAGAGTGGCTGGAATTATCAAAAATGGTCACATATGACCAGAAAAATATTAGTATAAATCATTTAATACATATGAATAATTTCGTACCCATGACTGATACGTTCTAAAAGTTTGAGACTACATTTTAATGATTGATACGTTCTAAAAGTTTGAGACTACATTTTAATGACTGATACGTTCAGAAAACTCGAGGCTACATTTTAATGACTGATACGTTCAAAAAACTCGAGACTACATTTTAATGATTGATACGTTCTAAAAGTTTGAGACTACATTTTAATGACTGATACGTTCTGAAAACTCGAGACTACATTTTAATGACTGATACGTTCTGAAAACTCGAGGCTACATTTTAATGACTGATACGTTCAGAAAAACTCGAGACTACATTTTAATGACTGATACGTTCAGAAAACTCGAGACTACATTTTAATGACTGATACGTTCAGAAAACTCGAGGCTACATTTTAATGACTGATACGTCCTTAAAGTTTGAGGCTACATTTTAATGACTGATACGTTCTGAAAACTCGAGGCTACGTTTTAATGACTGATACGTTCAGAAAACTCGAGACTACATTTTAATGACTGATACGTTCTAAAAGTTTGAGACTACATTTTAATGACTGATACGTCCTAAAAGTTTGGGGCTACATTTTAATGACTGATACGTTCTGAAAACTCGAGGCTACATTTTAATGACTGATACGTTCTAAAAGTTTGAGACTACATTTTAATGACTGATACGTCCTAAAAGTTTGAGGCTACATTTTAATGACTGATACGTTCTAAAAGTTTGAGACTACATTTTAATGACTGATACATCCTAAAAGTTTGAGGCTACATTTTAATGACTGATACGTTCTAA